GTGCTATTAAGCACTGACTGAGTCTTCTCTCCAGCCACAGGAACTGTATTTTCAAATAACATAGGAGGATTTTTTGTTACCTTTCTAGCCAGAAATTATTACTACAAACTATTTTTTAAGGAAATTGTGCTATATCACTCACTTGTACTGAGTGATTTTGTGTGTCAGCCGAGGAAATGCCTCCTTGAGATCCAGCTATAAGACATTTTCTCATTTAGTGATCAGTGATGGAGGGCCCAGTCCATGGTGGGTGGTGCCATCCCTGGGCTGCAGTCCATGGTGGGTGGTGCCATCCCTGGGCTGCTGGTCCTGGGTTCTATAAGAAGGTCAAGTAAGCCATGGGAGGCAAGCCAGTAAGCAGCATCCCTCCATGGTCTCTACATTAGCATTTGCCTTCAGGCAGGATCCTGTTCTGTTTGAGTTCCTGCCTGACTTCTTCAGTGATGAAAAGCAATGAGGAAGTATAAGCCAAATAAACCCTTTCCTCCCCAGCTTGCTTTTTGGTCATGAGTTTCATCTCAGCAATAGAAACCCTAACAAAGACAGGACTGAAGTGTAATTTTTTCAAAAAAAGATTACTCAGCTGAGTGGTGGCGCATGCCTTTGATCCCAGCACTCCGTGTAGGGACAAGAGACCAGTCAAAGAAACACACCCTGAACAGAGCCAAAGAAACACACTTTGGACCTGCAACCAGAACTGAAGAAATCTACCCTGACCCTGAAACCAGTGCCAAAAGAACACACTTTGTCCCTGGAATCAGAGTCAGTGAAAGAAATGCACCCTGGCCCTAAAATTGGAGCCAAAAGGCTAAAAAGGACCAGAGAAAGAAACACACTTTGGTCCTAAAACCAGAGTCACATCTGACCCTAACCCTGTGCAGAAAACTAACCAATCCTCGAGCAGAGCTCTAGCCAATCTGAGCTCAGCACTAAAATCTGAGCAATCCCCTCCCTGGAAGCCCTATATAAACCCTTTGTCTGTTCAGCTTGTGGCTGTTCATGCTACCAGGCTGTCCTCTGCCGCTCTGATAGAGGGCAGCCACTCCTGGATTCTTCCTTCCAATAAACCCCTTCAATGAGCTTTGGGTGAAGATCTTTTGCAGTGGCGACCCTGGGCAGAGCAGAGCGAGCAGGGCTGTAACACTTTTGCATGGGAAACCTTCCCTTGGCACAGAGCTGAGTTGTTATACTCCATTCTCCGCTCTCAGCTCTCTGGGAGCAGAGCTGAACTGTAGCAACTTCGCGAGAAACCTCCTGCCGAGCAAAACTGCTACACTGAGCGAACATCCCCAGCTGGAAGACCCGGTCCTGCCAGAGCAGAGCCCATACACTGGGGAAGCCTTTCTCTGAGGCCGGGCTGTAAGCAGCTAGGCTTACTGCAACCTGTGGTGGTCCTTGGCTCCCGAGTTCCAGGATACCTTTCCATCTGAGCTGTGTAACATTCAGTATCCTATGACTCCCGAGTGCCAAAATACCCATCCCATCCCCATCCGCCTGAAATGCCTACACTCGGGAGGCAGAGGCAGGCAGATCTCTGTGAGTTCGAGGCCAGCCTGGTCTAAAGAGCGAGTTCCAGGACAGCCTCCAAAACAATACAGAGAAACCCTGTCTCAACTTAAAAAAAAATTACTCCAGAAGGCACAATCACCTAGTTAGGTGTCACAGATCACCTAATTTATTGTTTCTTGGATAAAATACAATAGCCACTACATTTGATTTAATTGGTTATATTAAATGCTCTTCTGCAAATCTAGAACCTCCATAACGATTTTTTTTTTTTTGGTTTTTCGAGACAGGGTTTCTTTGTATTGTTTTGGAGGCTGTCGGTCCAGCCCATCCTCAAACTCACAGAGATCCGCCTGCCTCTGCCTCCCGAGTGCTGGGATTAAAGGCGTGTGCCACCACTGCCCGGCTCCATAACAATTTTTAAGTTTTTATTTTTATGTGTATGGGTGTTTGTCTGCATGTATGTCTACACCATTTGTATGTGGTTTTTTTGGAGGCCAGAAGAGGGTGTTGGATCCCTGGGGTTACAGATTGTTGCTAACTGCAAATGGGTGTTAGGAATTGATCCCATGTCCTCTGGAAGAACAGCCAGCGCTTTTTTCTTCTTTTTTAATGTACATTGGTGTTTTGCCTGCATGTATGTCTGTGTGAGGGTGTCATGTTGGATCCTGTGGAACAGGAGCTAACAACAGTTGTGAGCTGCCATGTGGGTGCTGGGGATTGAATCCAGGTCCTTTGGATGAGCAGTCAGTGCTCTTAACCACTGAGACATCTCTCCAGCCCTTGAAGCCAGCATTCTCAACTTCTATACCAGCTCTCCAGCCATCATCAACAATTTTTAAAAGTTGACAATTATCTTACTGTTCTCATAATGACTTGCTAGGCATGCTGTTAGAGACTTTTAATCCTAGCACGAGCAGGCAGAGACAGGAAGATCTCTGAGGGTAGGCCAGCCAGTCTAGCCTAACTGGTGAGTTCTAGGCCAATTTTAGGTCTCAAAGTAGAAGGCATTTCTAAAGAAGAGTGCAGGTGTGGTGATGTATCACAGGCAGGTCTCTGTAAGTTTGAGATCAGCCTGATTTATATAGCAAGCTCCAAATTGGGCAGGATTATAGACCCTATCTCAAAACCAAACCTGCCCACACCTTTTTGTTTTGTTTTTTCAAGACAGGTTTTCTCTATAGTCTTGGCTGTCCTAAAACTCAGAAATCTCCTTGGCTTTGCCTCCCAAGTGTTGGGATTAAAGGCATGAGCCACCAATGTAGGGAAAAGGGACCAGTCAAAGAAACACACCCTGAACAGAGCCAAAGAAACACACTTTGGACCTGCAACCAGAACTAAAGAAATCTACCCTGATCCTGAAACCAGTGCCAAAAGAACACACTTTGTCCCTGGAATCAGAGTCAGTGAAAGAAATGCACCCTGGCCCTAAAATTGGAGCCAAAAGGCTAAAAAGGACCAGAGAAAGAAACACACTTTGGTCCTAAAACCAGAGTCACATCTGACCCTAACCCTGTGCAGAAAACTAACCAATCCTCGAGCAGAGCTCTAGCCAATCTGAGCTCAGCACTAAAATCTGAGCAATCCCCTCCCTGGAAGCCCTATATAAACCCTTTGTCTGTTCAGCTTGTGGCTGTTTAAGCTACAGGCTGTGCTACTCTCCTGGATTCTTCTCTCCCAATAAACCTCTTGGGTGAGCTTTGGGTGAAGATCTTCTTTTGCGGCAGTGGAGCAGGGCCAACCCTGGGCAGAGCAGAGCGAGCATGGCTGTAATACTTTTGCCAGGGAAACCTTCCTTTGGCAGAGCGGAGTTGTTACACTCAGCTCTCAGCTCTCCACTCTCCCAGAGCAGAACTGAACTGTAGCAACTTCGCCGGAGAAACCTCCTGCAGAGCAAAACTGCTACAGTGGGCGAACATCCCCAGCTGGAAGACCCTGTCCTGCCAGAGCAGAGCAGATACACTGGGGAAGCCTTTCCCTGAGGCAAGGCTGTAAGTTGCTAAGTTTACTATAACCTGTGGTGGTTCTTGGCTCCCGAGCTCCAGGATACCTTTCCACCTGAGCTGTGTAACACTCAGTATTCTGTTACTCACGAGTGCCCTAATACCTGACCCATCCGGATCTGCCCAAAATGCCAACAACCACCAACCGACTTTTTAAAATAATTTATTCATTTTTATTTTATGTGCATTGATGTTTTGCCTGCATATATGTCTGTGTGAGGATGCCAGATCTGCTGGAACTGGAGTTACGGACAGCTATGAGCTGCCATGTAGATTTTGGGAAGAGCAGTCAGTGCTCTTAACCACTGAGCCATCTCTCCAGGCCCCCCCACCTTTTTTTTTTTTTTTTTATTCAGACAGTTTCTTATAGTCTAGGCTGAGGCTGTCCTTGAACTCCTGACGCTCCTGACTTTACCTCCCAAATGCTAGGCTTACAGGCATGTGCCACCACACCCAGCTTCTAAATCTTTGTTTCTTAATAGTCAGTTTTACCTAAAAGTAACCTGAAATGGTGTTGAAGGGAAATGATTGTGAAATAGAAGGTAGAAAATTTAATTCAAGCCTGCAAGTCCCAAGTTAAAATGTACATGAATGTTTTATGGTTATGACTATGAAGCTTTTAATAAATTACTTCCTACCTCAGCAAAACCAAAGAGCAAGGCAAGATAACAAGGCTAATGGTGCCGGGCGTTGGTGGCGAACACCTTTAATCCCAGTACTCGGGAGGCAGAGGCAGGCAGATCTCTGTGAGTTCGAGGCCAGCCTGGTCTACAAAGCGAGTTCCAGGACAGTCTCCAAAACAATACAGAGAAACCCTGTCTCGAAAAACCAAAAAAAAAAAAAAAAAAAAAAAAAAAAGAAGGCTAATGCAAAGGGTGAGGAGTCTCTGGGATCAAGCGTGTGAACTTGAGCAGGCAGCTTAGCCGCACCTCCCGGGGAAATAATTAAGTGAATGTATAAACAGAGCGTTCAAGAGTCAGCGTTCTGATAATGTACCGGCTGTGTTTGTTGGGCTTGGCTTTTGTTTGCATCCGTTTCCAAGGAGACAGTCACAGCTGGGAAACGCTAAAATACAGGAACTTTAAGAGATGACCCCCGGCCGGGCGTTGGTGGCGCACGCCTTTAATCCCAGCACTCGGGAGGCAGAGGCAGGCGGATCTCTGTGAGTTCGAGGCCAGCCTGGTCTACAGAGTGAGTTCCAGGACAGCCTGCAAAACAAAACAATACAGAGAAACCCTGTCTCGAAAAACCAAAAAAAAAAAAAAAAGAGATGACCCACGCCCTTAAACAGGAGGCAAAAAACGAGCATGTGCGGAGGTCACGCATTAATTTATAACCCGGCGTGCGTACGCCACGCTCTGCGAGGCGGAAGGGACGCTGCCCCTAACAAACATGGCTTCCGGTTACTTCCGCTCTCCTTTTGGTAGCTTGGCTCCGCGGCTTCTCGCGGTTTTAGTGTTGGCTCTACTTAGCAACCGCCTGGCCTTCGTCCTGCAGAGAAGGCGGGCCAGGAAGGAGGTGCTGCGTTCTGATTGGTTGCCATGCGGGAGCATTGCCGGCTACGCCCCGGCCCCGATTGGTTACCGAGAGGGGGCGGCTTGAGAGGCGGTGGCAGCGGCGTGGGGAGCCATGGGTCAGACCGCCAAGGTGACAATGCCGTGGAGGAGGGTGCAGGGAGGCTGAAGGACCCTCGGCCGAGGAGAGAGGCGACCCCGAGGGGCGGAGAGTGGAGGAGGGTGACAGCCTTGAGGGGCGGTGAGGAGAGAGACTGTCCAAGAGAGGGATCAGTGAAAGGGGGTGACGACCATGAGGGCAGTGGGAGAGAAGGGAGACGACCCCGAGGGGCAGTGAGTGATAAGAGTGACAGCCCTGAGGGACAGTGAGTGGAGGAGAGTGACACCATGAAAGATGGTGAATGGAGGAGCGTGATGACTATCCTTGCCGTCATAAAGAAGGCCAGTAGTAGGAAAATTATAAACAAGAAAATCGCAGGAAGTTCTTAAAACTAAAATGCAGCATGTTTTGTGAACCTGTAACCAGGGTTTAACTTATCTAGAGAGATACAGAAATCTCTAGAGCAAGAGAGGCAGCGTTGCTGTGCCTACTTGTTCACGGTTATCCCAGGCAACATAGGTCTTGTCTCAAAATTTAGAAAAGAAATGAATGGAATCACAAGGAACCATAGGCAGAGGTGTGAAGTTTAATTGGGAATTAGGAGGGGCTGCTAGTCTCAGATTTACTGTGTAGCCCAGGCAGGCTTCTAACTCAGCAGTCTTCATGCCAAGTGTTGGGATTACAGGTGTGAACTACTATACCCAGCTACTTTCTGCATTTGAGCATTTGAGAAGGTTTCTTTAGGCCGGGCGTTGGTGGCTCACGCCTTTAATCCCAGCACTCAGGACGCAGAGGCAGGCGGATCTCTGAGTTCGAGGCCAGCCTGGTCTGCAGAGCGAGTTCCAGGACAGTCTCCAAAACAATACAGAGAAACCATGTCTTGAAAAAAATTTTTAGTACGGATGTGGTTGTATTTAACTTAGTAATAGAACCCTTGCTTGGTGTGGTCAAGGCCCTCCCAGGGTACTTCATAATAATAAATAAAAATATTATTTTAATAGCTCTAATGTGATATTGGTCCCAGTAGCTTTGTGGTAATAAAGATGGCATTTTTAATTTTTATTTTGTTTTGTTTTGTTTGAGACAAGGTTTCTCTGTGTAGCCTTGGCTGTCCTGGAATTCACTCTGTAGACCAAGAGTCCTTGAGAACTCACAGAGATCCTCCTACCTCTGCTTCCTGAGTGCTGGGATTAAAGACGTGTGCCATCATGGCCCAGCATTTTCTTTTTAAAGAATTGTTTATTTAATTATTTTATTTGCTTGGGTGTTTTTCCTCCATGTATGTTTACCATGTGATGCCTGGTACCCACAGAGGCCAGAAGAGGGCGTCAGATCCCTTGGAACTGAAGTTAGAGATGGTTGTCTGCTGCCATGTGGGTGTTGGGAAGAACCTGGGTCCCCTGTGAGAGCAGCCAGTGCTTTTAACCTCAGAGCCATCTCTCCAGCTCCCATGTTTCTTTCTATTAGGATAACGGTCTTAAACTAGTGGAGCTGTTTTTGTGTTAATGGACATCCCCCACCCCTTAGGTACTACATAAAATTACTGAGGTTGCTGTTTGGTTTGAGACTATGGTCTTAAACTTTGGGATCAAATGATCTCCCTTCTCCACTTCCCAAGATGCTAGGACTACAGGTGTATGCCTAGACACCTAGCCCTGTGTGTGTGTGTGTGTGTGTGTGTGTGTGTGTGTATGTGTGTGTGTCTCCCTTTACTTTTTATTTAATTCGTATTTTGTAGTGTTGAGAAGTGAGCCCAGGTCCCACTACATGCTCTAAACATAGTCTACTGTGGTGCCTTTAAAATCCATATTCCTATCAACAATCTCTGCAAGGCAATCAGCTCTTATTGTCAAGCACTTTGGAAAAATCCTTTCTGTACACATTACTCAATCCCAAAGCCACTCCCACATTTTTAGCCTGTTATTGTTCCCCATCTCCTCATAACAAGTCTGTTCATTTCCTGTGATTGTCTTAAAGTACAGGCGAAGCATTAAAAAACAAAACAAAATTGGAAATGCTCATGAGTAAATCTTAAGTGTTTTTTCCATTTTCATGTGGTGTGTGTGTGTGTGTGTGTGTGTGTGTGTGTGTGTACTTGTGAGTCCGTGTGTGTGCATGTATGGATACTTCTGTCACTCTTCTACCTTATTTATGGAGTCTCCCAGCTGAACCCAGAGCTTTCCAATCTGAGTTATCTGAGTATGTAGTCTTGCTAGCCAGTTGCTCTGGGCACCCTCCATCTCTGCCTTCTGAGGCTGGACGTACACATCTACCCTACATTTTTGTGGGTTCGAGGGATCTAAACTCTGGTCCTCACACTTGTAGAACCAGCATTTTAATCACTGAGCCATCTCCCCATCCCTAAATCTAAGGTGCGTTTTCTATTTTATTATTTTTAACTATTTTATCATATTGCACTGGTATTTTGCCTGCATGAATGTCTGTGTGAGATTGTTAGATCACCTGGAACTGTGAGCTGCCATGTGGGTGCTGGTGATTGAACCCGGGCCCTGGAAGAGTAGCCAATGCTCTTAACCACTGAGTCATCTCCCCAGCTCTACATTGTTTTTGTTTGGTTTGGTTTTGGCTCTTTATGGGGGGGTAAAGATGGGGAGTAGGTATTGGTTTTTTAATAGGGTTTCTTTGTTTAACAGTCCAACCTTGTTTTCTTGAACTTAAAGAGAAATAACAACTAGGAATTTACTTTGCAAGTTCTTGCTTTTACCAGCTATTCTGAAAAGTAATTTTTAGAAATAAGTAGAAAACAAATCCAATAGTTCTAAATGTTATGTAAAATGTGATCTTTTTTTCTTTTTCTTTTGGTTTTTTTTTTTTTTTTTTTGAGACAGGGTTTCTCTGTGTAACAGTCCTAGCTGTCCTAGAACTCACTCTGTAGACAAGGCTGGCCTCTGCCTCATGAATGTTAGAACTAAAGGCATTTACCATTGCTGTCTGGCTGTGGCTTTTTTCTTTTCTTTTCTTTTTTTTTTGTTTTTTTGTTTTTTTGAGACAGGATTTCTCTGTAGCTTTGGAGGCTGTCCTGGAACTAGCTCTGTAGACCAGGCTGGCCTCGAACTCACAGAGATCCACCTGCCTCTGCCTCCCGAGTGCTGGGATTAAAGGCATGTGCCACCACCGCCCGGCCTTGTGGCTTTTTTCTTAAGCATAAAATCTTAGTTTTTATTTTTACTTATGTCTTTATAAAGATTTTATTTATTATGTATACAGTGTCCTGTATCCCTGCAGGCCAGAAGAGGGCACCAGATCTCATTTCAGTTGGTTGGGAGCCATCATATGGCTGCTGGGAATTGAACTCAGGACCTCTGGAAGACCAGCTAGTGTTCTTAAACACTGAGCCATCTTTCCAGCCCTCTGTGTGTGTGTGCGCGTGTGTGCGTGCGCACGTGTGCGTGTGCACGTGCATGCGCGTGTGCATGCGTGTTCGTGCGTGTGTGTGTGTGTGTGAGTGTGTGTGGTGTGTGTGCGCGCGCGTGCGTGTGCACGTGCATGCGTGTGTGCATGCGTGTGCGTGAGTGTGTGTATGTGTGTGTGAGTGTGTGTGGTGTGTGTGTGTGTGTGCATTCAGAAGAAAACCTCAGGTGTTGGTTCTTGCCTTCCACCTTGTTTAAGGCAGGAACTCTTTGCATACAGCAAGCTAGTTCAAGAATTCCTTGAGCTTCTGGAATTCTCCTGTCTCTGCTGTCACCTTCCCATAGGCATATAGGGATTACAGATGTGAGCTATCATGTTTGTTTGTTTGTTGTTGTTGTTTTATGTGGGTTCCAGGGATTTGAACTCAGCTCCTCATGATCATGGAGCATTTGCTTTATCCACTGGGCCTATCTCCTCAGTCCTGAATTCTGCTTTTTCTTAATAGGTTTTACAGCTCTTCAGAACACTGCACAGGACAAGACAACAAGTTTTTAAAAATGATAAGAGAGCACTAGAAGGTAAATATATCTTTCACTCCATTAGAGCAAATTCATGCTTTTGTTGTTTTATTTTTCGCAGTGCTAGGGATTGAACTTAGAGCCTCACACATGTAAGGCAAAGCACTCTGCCATTGACCTAGGTCACAAGCTGAGCCAGGATCTTCAGTGTCCCAGGCCCTTTTATGCAGGATGACCTTGAACTCCTGATCCTCCTGCTTGAGGTGTCTGCTGCCACCCCTGCTGCACATCCATTCTTTAGCTGGCTGCCCTTCTAACAGTGGAATGACCTTTCCCATCATTCCTTGGTGTTCTATAAAGACCCGTTTTCATTATGCTAATGGGAGAATACTTAATATTTATAAAGATCAAGTTCTCATATAGAATCGTCTAAAAGGAAGGTTCTCTCTTAATCCCATTTCTCTGCGGTATAACCCATTTCCCACACTGTAATCAGTGCTACCGTGTTGTTAATGCTGGGGTAGCTGTGAGAGAATGCAGCCACATGAGTCCAGACTCAGCATCTCCCTGTTTAAGTGGTTTCCAGCTGATTTAGAAGTCTTAGCTTGAGACTTTCGGGCACTGTGTTGGTCTTACTGATTTCCAACCTCCCTAAGACGGAGCTGGGCAAAGCATTCCCAGGAAATCAAATTTGGTCATTTCTTTTAAATATCGATTTTTATTATTTTTAATTGCATGTGTGCTATGCAAGTTAGTGCAGGTGCCCACAGAAGCCAGACCCATAGGATCCCTGGAAGCTGGAGTCACAGGCAGTTGTGAGTGACCTGATGTGGGTGTTGGGGACCACACTCAGTAGTACATGCTCTTAACTGCTGAGCTATCTCTCCAGCCCCTAGTTTTAGAAATACATCATTTTATATGCTTCTTAGAAATTTCTAACAGTTCTCAGCTCTGCAAGGTAATTATACTATAATTCCAACTTCTGCAGATGAGAAAACTGACAAAATATGAAGAGATTTCCTGCATGTCATTAGCTAACAGTAGAACTGAGGACTATCTTAAGCAGTCTGATTCCAAAAGCCAGACTTTTAAAAAAGGTTTATTTTTATTCATGTGTATGGGTGTTTTGCCTATGCGTATATCTGTGCACCACTTGGGTGCTTGGTGTCCTGGGAAGCCAGAAGAGGGTGATGGATCCCTGGAACCACCGCTGAGCCATCTCTCCAGTCTCCATTAGGACCAAACTCTTAGCCATATTGAGGAAAATGAGCACCAAAGGAGGCTTCCGTGGCTATTTCTTTCTATCAACATGGTATATTTTGTTGGTTTAGCCAACATTTGTTGTATACTTACTAAGGACTTCATACAGATTATTCCACTAAATGCTTGTAACACAGCAAGGTCGATTAGAGTAGGTTAAACTGCTATAACATAGGTGGAAAATGTGAGCCCAGAAGTTTTTTTGTTATTGCTTGAGACACAGCCTGCTTTATAGTCCTACCTGTCCTAGAACTCACCATGTAGACCAGGCTGGCCTCAAACTTACAGAGCACCTCCTGCCTCTGTCCCCCAGGTCTTAGTTAAAGGCATGGCCACTACACTTAGCAACTTTGCTGTCATCATTCACTCTTACATCAGCCTAGGTGCTGGGGATCAAATCTGTAGTAATGTATATGCATGTGCCAGTATAGGGTACATATTGTTTGCACTGGTTCTTACCATCTTCATAAAGCATATATATGCAACTTCAACACTCTAGAAGCTGAGGCAGAGGGCTCACAAGTTTAAGAACAGCCTGAGCTTTACGGTGAGACCCTATCTTAAAAAATAAAGCTGGGCATTACTTTAAATGTTTAGATTTAGAGAAAAAAATCTTGGATTTGCACTTCTTAGAATCTAGTAGTTCTGGAGGTACACATATAAAATTGAAAAGAAGCCACGCACGTGGCCTTAAAGGCTGAGGATCTCTGTGGTTCTGAGGCCAGCCTGGTCTATATAATGACTTCCAGGACAGCCAGAGCTATAGAGAAGAATTTTGTCTCAAAGGAAAAAAAAAAAAAAAAAAAAGAAGAAAAGGGCAGAAGACCTGAGTATTAGAATACTGAGTTCTATTCCAAAGACGACTTGGTCCTCTTCTCTACAGAAGTCAGAGTACACTAGACAGGTAATTAATTAGTAAACAGCAGAGCAGCTGGCCAGCCTCGGAGACAGGATTAAAGTCGCTCAGTTTGCTGGTCATGAAATTCATGTACCCTCACTTTTATTGGGTTCACGTGGACAAATGGATGTATTTGTTCATATCTTAAAGATATCCTAAGTCATCCTTTAGAAAAATCCTTACAAATACATACTACAACAGGAAAGGGCAATATGTGGTCAATTAGTGGCTGTAAATTAGTGGAAATGCAGGGGATCAGACGAATAAAATGCCAAATAAGACCTGAAAAAAAAAGAATATTGAGTTATTTTTATAGATTCACCCAGATCTCCAGGGAGACTAGGTTAATACATTTCTTCTTCTTCTTTTTTTTTTTAGACAGAACCTCACCATATAGCCCAAGCTAGCCTCAAATTCAAAATCCTCCTGCCTCATCCTCCTAAATGATGCTGTTATGGTGTGCAACACCATACTTGGCACATAACACATTTCCCATGCTTTGTTTTATGTGAGTAATAGAAATTTGTAATGGATATCATTGAATAACGTGTAAGAATCATAAGTATTAATTATATATATTTCTCTCTCTCTCTAGCAGCCAGAGTAAAGATAAATGAAGAATTCAAAAAACATAAAAGTGAGGCCGCTCCAGAGAAAATAGAAGAGGTACAGTAATAGGTTTCAATTGTAGTAGAGCTGGTATAAATGTTCTTGGTAAAGAGAGGATGGTGGGAATGGAGGGTTGTGTGTAGGAAAGCCACCACATGATAGTGAGAGCCTCCACAGCTGTAGACAACCTCCACTTGTTTGCTGTGTGTCACCTCAGGATTATCTCCTACCCACCAAGGTAACAGGGCCCACTGGGAAGAGAATACAGAAGCAGCCCTAGTCAAGACCAGGGCAGCTGAGCATGGCAGAAGCCGTAGCATTCTTTCTTCACTTGAGGTAAGTGACTAAAGATAGGGAACGGGAGTGTTCATGATGCAGCACTTCAGAGGGAATTTTAGAGAGAAGCACCCTTAGGAAATGCAGTGAAGAGTAGAGCTGGGCATAGTGGGGGTATGCCTATCATTCTAGCACGCATGAATCCAATGCCAGCCTGGACTACATACTAAGGTACTGCCTTTAAAAAAAGAAAAGATTCATACTTACGGTATTGATTGGTAAAAGAGAAAATACAAATGTGAGAAAGTCTCACATATTTAATAGCATTTATACAAGTGAATAAAATTTTCTTCTCTCTCTCTCTCTCTCTCTCTTTCAAGACAGGGTCTCACTGTGTAGCTCTGCTGTCCTAGAACTCACTATGTAGACCAGGCTGGCCTCTGCCTCCAAAGTGCTAGGATTAATGGTGTGCTCCACCATGCCCAATCCCCAACACATTTTAAAGTGCATATTGTAACAAAAAAGTTCTAAGCCTGTTTTTGAGCAAAATATAGGATATGTAGATAAAATGAAGGGCATCTGAAATGTTTGCATTTTCTATACTACCCTTTACAGTTGCACAAAGCTAAAAGACACATTATCTGAAAGTGACCTGTGAAACTGTGATATCCAAAACCATTGCAGTCCTACAAAGCACTCAGGGGTTACTCTGTTTGATTTTCCTAACAGATGTTGAAAATGGGTTCTGATGTTGAACTGTTACTCAGAACATCTGTTATTCAAGGTATTCACACTGACCACAACACACTGAGTAAGTAAAGGGAGGGGGTGGAAGGATAGGGAGGTGGGGAGTGTATGATTTCTGGCTGTGATATTTCAAAATAGTAACAATTACTGCATCTTTGTCTTTACTTTATTATTATTGATTATTTTCTTTCTTTCTTAATTCTTTGTGACAGGGTTTCACTAGTAGCCCTGGTTATCTTTGAACTTGCTGTGTTAATCAGACAACCCCCTTACCTCATTAAAGGCATGACTACATTCACCACACTGACATTACTCTTAACACTGACACTGGGATTGAACTCAAGTGCTCAACTGAGCCATGTAGCATGATTACTAAAAAGTCAAGAGACAGATATAGGGGTTCAAGCTGAAGATCAGAGAAGCAAAGCAGTCAAGCCAGTAGCTCTTACCTCTACCTGGACCAAAATGGGTGATCCTGTCTCCATGAATCCTCAGAGTGCAATGCTTTCTCCACCAAACCTCAGACTGAATGCTCTCCCTGTCTGGAAACTAAATCTCATATGAGACCCTTTGCTTCTTCCTTTTATACCTCTCAAATCCTGGGATTAAAGTCATGAGCTCTGAATAACTCCCATGTAGCCCAGGTTGGTCTTGGATTCACAGAGATTTGCCTGCCTCTACCTCCCGAGTGCTAGGATTAAAGGCATGCACAACCACTGCCCAACAAGGAGTTTCTTATTTTAATATAGTCTAGTTGATTCATTTTTCCTTTATTGTAATTGTAATTTTCTTTGGGCCACCCAACCAGCTCCCAAATAAAAACATGGAGACTTATTAATCATGAAAGCTCATCCTTAGCTTAGGCTTGTCCCACTAGCTCTTTTAACTTAATTTAACCTGTTTCTCTTCATCTAAATGTTGTCTTGGAGCTTTTTACCTTTCTTTCATTCTGTATGTCCTACTTTCCAGACTCTCTGTGTCTGTCTGTCTGGCCCCTGGCATATTCCTGGCCTCTGTTTACTCTCCCTGCCCAGAAGTTCTGTCTGTACTTCCTTCACTACTGGACATTCAGTTTTTTTATTAGACCAAAGAGGTGCCTTAGACATGCAAGGTAAGACAGCAGCACATCTTACATACCTAAACAAATACAATACATCTTCACATAGTTAAATAAACATTTTGCAACACTTTTTGTTGGGTATTTTTGGATCCTGTTGAAGACTTTGTGTCAAACAAGGTCATGGAGGGATTCTCCTGTGCTTTGTTCCAAAACGTAGTGTCTTAGTTAGGGTTTCTATTGCTGTGGAGAAATACCATGACCACAGCAACTCTTATAAATGAGACATTTAATTGGAGTGGCTTGCTTACAGTTCAGTGGTTCACTCTGTTTAATCATGGTGGGACATGGCTGAGGTCAGGCAGACATGGTGCTGGAGAAGCAACTGAGAATCCTGCATCTTGCAGGCAACAGGAAGTGATCTGAGTATCACACTAGCTAAGCTTGAGCATATGAGACCTCAAAGCCCTCCTCCACAGTGATACACTTCCTCCAGCAAGGGCATACTTTCTTCAATAGGGCTGCACTTCCTAATAGTGCCATTCCCTTTGAGGGACATTGTTTTTCAAACCACTACAGTATCTTTTTGATTATCTACTAAAGTTGGCTTTGTGGTTTTTGTTTTGTTTTTCAAGACAGGGTTTCTCTATGTAGCCCTGACTGTCCTTGAACTCACTCTATAGACCAGACTGGCCTTGAATGGTTTTGTGTAGTTTTTTTTTTTTTTTTTTTTTTTTTGGTTTTTCGAGACAGGGTTTCTCTGTGGCTTTGGAGGCTGTCCTGGAACTCGCTTGGTAGTCCAGGCTGGTCTCGAACTTACAGAGTTCCGCCTGCCTCTGCTTCCCGAGTGCTGGGATTGAGACAGGGTCTCTGTATGTAGTCCTGGCTGTTCTGGAATTTGCTATGTATACTAGGCTGACCTCAAATTCAAAGAATCTATCTGCCTACTGAGTGTTCAGATTAAAGACATGTGTCACCAGGCAGTCTTCACCCTTCCCCCCTTTTTTAGATCACTTCCTGAAAACCCATCAGTTTCCAGGGCAACTACTAGCAGGTCTACATGCCTTACTACATCTTCATTGTTTAAGATGAGATTCAAGATTGTGCCTCTTTGTTTTGGAGCAGGCTGCTTGAAGGGTAATCTTACAGGCATTCTTCTCATTCCAGTCTAGTCAGGGGCTATCACTGTGACTTAGCAGCTGTGATCAGTATCTAGTTCAATCCCAGAGACTCATAAACTGAGCTTTCCTCATGGCTGTAGGTAGCTTCGTGGTCAGAAGTTGAACAGCTTTGTAGAAAGGAGTCTTTTTTTTTTTTTTTTTTTTTTTTTGGTTTTTACGAGACAGGGTTTCTCTGTATTGTTTTGGAGGCTGTCGGTCCAGCCTGGCCTCGAACTCACAGAGATCCACCTGCCTCTGCCTCCCGAGTGCTGGGATTAAAGGCGTGCGCCACCACCGCCCTCGAAAGGAGTCTTTATAAGATGACTGAAGACTCTGACTTTGTGGCAAGGTAGAAATGACCGCAGCCAGTTTTGAAAATTCTTCATACCACTTGCCAGTATAGAAGACTGAAGGTTGATATGATATGACAGACAGACTGCTTCTTTTGCTGTAGCCATGGTGATAAATTTTTCTCATAGCCTGTAGGCTTGGAGATAGGAATATATTTTGGAGGCTGCAGAGGTCTGAACTGCCCAAACCAGTGCTTTCTGATAGAGGAGATGTCTGTAATTGTGTCAGCTAAGCCTACAGTGATTCCCAATTAACATGTTCATTAAAAGGGTTGTGAGATACCCATCAGAGAAGACCACACAGACATGGATTCCAGGCAATAAAATATCTTTATTAGCTGGCTGGTGACCACACTAGGTGTTCAGGACCCAAGTGCAGTCCCTACCCTTTCTCAGGGTGGGATTTTAAGCACAAAAATCACATCCTGGGTTGACACACCCCATTTAAGGACTTTCCCAGAACTATGGACTTAGATGGATTAGGTCTTTCTTTTGGCAGATGTTGCTGCCTATGTACTGGGTTCCAAGGCCTGAATGGTACTTTCATCAAGGTGTTAGTGTGCTAGGGTCTGGGGCCTGTTACACAACCATTCCAGTTCATGCTCTGAAAGCTCCACATTCTCCACACCAATTTGCTTTGGTAGTTTCTAGTCTGCTTTTGAGCTGCTTTCTGGTTGGAACAGTTGCATTTACCATCCTTTGATGCACCAAATGTTCTTAAATAAAAAGTGAACCGTTGGTTCATTTCAACACAGTAGTTGAGAAGAGACTTTAGCATTTACCATCTTGATCATTAATGCCCAGACAGGAGGACCAGGGGTCATAGAGCCTCCACTTATTTTTTTTTTAAGATTTTGTTGTTTAATTCAAAGATGTTTATTTATTTATTTATGTGTGTGTGTGTGTGTGTGTGTGTGTGTGTCTGTGTGTGTGTGTGTGTGTGTGCCATGTGTATGCAGTAGTTGGAGGAGATCAGATCTTTTGGAACTGGAGTTACCTGATATGGGTACTGGGAACTGAACTCAGGTACTCTAGAAGAGCAGCAAATGCTTGTAGCCACTGAACTATCTCTCCATCCTCCTATTTTTGTTTGTTTGTTTGTTTGTTTGTTTGTTTGAGACATGCTCTCCAGGCTACCCTCTAATTCATTATGTAGCTGATGGTCTTAAGCTCCTGCCTCTACCTTCTGAGTGTTTTGTCTACAGACATGTATCACCATACTTGATATATGTGAATCATACTCAGGGCCTGTGTATGCTAAGCAAGCACTTTACTGTCAGTGTAAAAACACAGCCTTTACCTGAAAAGGTGCCCTCTGAAGTCAGAAGAGGGCATCAGATCCCCTGGAACTAGAATTACAGATGGTTGTAAGCCATTATGTGTGTGCTGGGAATCGAACCCTAGTCCTCTAGAAGAATAGCCAATGTTCTTAACTGCTGAACCTTCTCTCTAGCCCCAGCCCAATATTTTTTTAACTTCCTCTCTAGCATATATATAAGACAGACAAAAAAATTGGGTTGTATTTCCAAGTGTATGTGATAACATTCAGAAAATACAGCAAATGCCTTTTTTTTTTTTTTTTTTGAGACAGGGTCTCACTATGTAGCTCAGGCTGTCCTGGAACTCACTATGTAGATCAGGCTGGCCTCAAACCCATAAAGACCTCCTGCTTTTGCCTCCTAAGTGCTGAGATTATAGGTGTACAGCTTTAATGCCCAGCTCAGATGTTTGTCTTTTAGACATCTGCTTTTTTGTATGTGTTTGTGTGTGCATATTTGTGTGGGTGCATATGTGTATATGGAGGCCAGAAGTTAATGTCAGGTGTCCTGGATTGCTCTCCACCTAATTGTTAAAGACAAGGTCTCTCACTAAACCTGGAGCTCACTGCTATGGCTAAGCTGGCTATCTTGCCAGACCCAGAGATCTACCTGTGTTCAACTCTCTAGCTCTGAGATCATAGGTGTGTGCTTCTGTGTGGGTACTGGGGATCCAAACTCAGGTCCTATGCTTGCAAAGGAAGCATTTTATCAACTCACTCATCTCCCCAGCCCTAAACTTCTGCCTTTGGATTCTGTACATTTGTCATTGTCAAACGTATCTGATTTTTTTCTAAGACAATTTAATGTGACTCAGCCCATATTTATTGAATCCTTATTGTGGCAGACACTGGGATTTATGTGGAATAGTGGGCTGGACAAATCTGGGTCTTGTCCTTAAGAAACTGAGCACTCTGTAAAAGATTGATAGTTAAAGTGTTCCTCCACAGCACTTCTGTATGTCAGAGGAACTCCAAGCCCAAACACAGGTCCTGGAAAGAACATGACCAAAGTGTAAGCTCCTCATTTCAGCTTATTGCTGTTTATGTGCCTGATATATTTAGCAACATTTTTATAACTTTAAAATACTTTGGAATCCTATATATTATTAATGTCCAAATGTCTCTGCCACACTATTGTGACTAGGCTTTCCATTTATGAGAGACAGAGAGAGAGAGAGAGAGAGAGAGAGAGAGAGAGAGAGAGAGAGAGAGAGAGAGAGAGAGAGAGAGAGAATTTAAAAATTTTTTTGGAGACAGACTTGGGGCAACAGTAATAAGAGAAACAGCCCAAATGAGGGTAGCCTTTTCTGTTTTCAGCAAGATGCTGAGAAAGAATGCATGCAGGATAAGTTGGTCCATTCACAAAGCAGAGAAGGAATGAGTGTCACTTTGCTGAGGGCTCTCTTCTGTCTGCAGCCTGTGCTCTGAGGAGAGCCTTGAGGAGCTGCGAAGAGTGACGGGTCCACTGTCCCACGTAAGACAGATGTAAAGAGGCTTCTGAAATCTAACTGAGGTCTTTTCAGGTGGCTCCCAGGCCTCTTTCCCCCTCACTTCACTCTTCATTGTTGCTTTTCTTGCTTTAAGAAGTGGTCTCAATGTAAGAACTAGTGAGTACGGCAGATCCCAGCAACATTACCAAAGAGGGATGATAATCTTTAGTGCTCAAAATAGGGTAAGATACTTGCCCGTGACTTCTTGTTTGTGGAAACAGTCTTGAAGTTTATAGTTTTTGAGTGAATTGTATTGCTAAGAAACCCAGGCTCATGTAGTTCACTTTAGCTCTTAAAGCCATCCCTGGTCTCCTGAACTCAGGTTAACAGGAGGTGGACTGTGGAAGCTTTTGAAGCCCCCCAAAGAGGCTATCTTCTGCAAGATCTCCATCTCCTCAAGACAGGGAGTGGCCCAGAGTCTGGATCTGGTATCTGTGTAGTAGAGTGCATCAGAGCAGGGCTTTGAGTCTCTTGAAAGTAGAATTTGGTACTGCCAGATTAGCAGACTGAAGATTTAGTCCGTTACCAAGTTAAGAAGTTTGCCTTTTCCTATCCCTGGGTTTAGGATTTTCTGTGGCCCAGGTACTACTGTGGATTCCCAATCTTATGTTTTTATTTTTCATCCCATCATTTATTTCCCACGAAAGTGGGGTAGGTGTCTACCATGTGTGCCACAGATGGATCCTGTGGGCAGAGCAGGCCAGCACATTAACTAGAGGCCCTTGGTGTGAATCTGGGTGAGACTTTGGGGACAGGAGGTAAACAGAAGTGTGCTATGAATTGTGTATGTCCATGCTGCATATCCAGAGAGGGACGATGAGAAAGGCCGTAATGTGATTTCTCAGGCTGTCCGGCATCTTTTATAAACATCTGTCTACTGAGTGTCATTCCACTGAAGCCATTGTTTTGTTGAAAAGGAATGGGCTGGGTGAGGTGCCCCTCCTGCCTTCAGTGCAAATGCAGTAATAGCAGAAGGGAAGGCAAGCTGCTTGCTGTTCCAAAGGGCAGCAGACACGGAGGAAAGAGATCCTGGGTAAGAACCTGGGTTAGCAGCACCAACGTCTTAAACTAGCTCAGGCCTGCTGTGTTTCATAATGGAAGAAAATTAAATCTTATAAACCACTGGTGGATTTCTGGTTGTTCAAAGTTGAACACAATCCAAAGTAATATTGATGAGTTTAGTAATTTATTATTCAATATAACAGTCTCAAATTCTTGCATTTTCACTATAAAAGACATTTGTGAAGTATTATAGTGTGATTTGTTGTTTATCCTTTTCAATAGATTATGAGACCCTTAAAGCCAAAGAAACTTTTCTTTTTTGAAACAAAGAAAATAGACTTTTCTTTATTATGTAGCTCTGGCTGTCCTGGATTTGCCTGTAGACCAGGCTGACCTCCACCTCACAGAGGTCCACCTGTCTCTACCTCCCAGTGCTGGGTTTAAAGGTGTGTGCCATCACTGCCTTGCTTGCCAAAGAAATTTTCATGTTCACCTTCATCTCATTTTTTGATGTAATATCTGGCATAAAATAGGTACATATATTTGATAAGTGAAATAAATTACTACCACTGTTATTAACTTAAAACAATACTATTGTTTCTTTGGATGGAAGCACCCAAGAGCTGACTAAAAATAATTACAAGTCAGAAATAAGCAGAGGTTTTCCCATTTCATAAGCCAGATTTATTATATGGGTACACTATTTTATTAATTAATTTCTGTGTGCAGTGGAGTGTTCATTGCCTGTGTCGTGGTGTGCACCTGGAGATCAAATGACAGCTTTCCTTCCACAGTGTGGGTCCCAGGGATCCAATTCAGATAGTCAGGCTTGGTGGCAAGTGACCCTGTTCTCTGAGGCATGTTGTCAACTCTCTCAAGTGCAAATTTCAGTTAATGTCTAGGTGGAGTTTTTTTGTTATTATATATTAAAAAAAATTAGATGTGGTCTCATGTAGTGCATGCTGAATTTAACTCCTGATCTTCCTGTCCCTACTTCTCAAGATATGCCATCACACCAACAGTTTCCTTCCTTCCTTCCTTCCTTCCTTCCTTCCTTCCTTCCTTCCTTCCTTCCTTCCTCTTTCTTTTGAGTGTTCTGTCTACATGTATGCGTGCAGACCAGAAAAGGGCATCAGATCCCATTATAGATGGTTGTGAGCCACAATGTGGTTGCTGGGAATTGTCTCTAGCCCCGACAATTTCTTTAAAATATTTCAGTGTGGGGCGGGAGAAATGGCTCAGCCGTTCAAAGCCCATACTGATCTTGCAGAGAACTGAAGTTCTTTTCCTATCACCCACATTGGGTGGTTCACAATCATTTGTAACTTTATCTCTGGGGGAATCTGACATATTCTTCTGGCCTCCTGGGGCACATACACACATGCACATACACACACATTCGTACACATAAATAAAAATAAATCTTCAAAAATACTCCAATATGCATTTCTTTTTGTTTTGTTTTTTTGAGACAGGATCTCACTATTTAGCTCTGGCTGTTCAGGACTTGCTATGTAGCCTTGAACTCAGAGATCCACCTATCTCTGTTTCCTGAGCGTTGGGAATAAAAATTGTGAGCCCAGTCCCCACAATGTGCTTTTCTTGAATATAAAGGACATTCCTTAACTACAGTTTAATTATTCAGAACTAGGGTATTCACATTGACGCAATGCTCTTGTTTGAGTTTTCACTTTTGTCCTAACAAGGTGGTGGTTTAGCAGTGTGTCTCGGGAGTCACTGTTCTGTAGATATGAACTTTCTAAATTATGAGAGTGATGTCTTGCTTCCTATAAAAATTTCCAAGTATCCAGGCAAGGTGTAATACACCTATAGTCTCATCATTGGGAGGTGGAGGCTGGAGGGTCAGGAGCTCAAGGTTAGCCTCAGCTACATAGGGAGTCAAAGGCTAGCCTGAACTACATGAGACCCTCTCTTAAAAACCATTCCTAGATGACATTTTTAATTAGTAATTGACAGATGGCCAATAATTTGTTTCACCTCAGACAGCAGCTGAAATAAAATGTCTCTAGAAGAGTTTTCTTCGACGTTCCTAAACTAGACAGTTTACAGTTGGAACTTGTGGGGGAAGTGGGTGTGCTGGCACTTAGGTCTGATTTGAAGATAAATAGTGACTGGAGTTCTAATCATCTTAACCACTTGTTTCTGTGTTTCTTTTAGAACTGGTCCCCAGGAAAGATCTTCTCACAGAAAATGTGCCGTACTGTGATACACCACCTCAGAAGCGGTAAAGCTTCCAGGACAAAACCCGTCTCTGCCCCCTCTGACTTTAAATATATACCTGGCAAAAGTCCTGGGCATGGGGATGTTTCTCTCTGAAGCAGCGTGTTGCAAGCGAGCAACAGGCCGAGGGCTGCAGAGTACTGCAGGGTTCTGAGGACATAGATGTGCCCTCCCTTCTCACTGGCGACTGAATGCCTGGGGAAGTGGCACATACTTCTCTTTCCCTTTGGTGGGTGTTTTGGTCTTACCAAAGCTATTTGCCAATGAAACACTTTACCAAGTTGATGACTTTTCATCCCACAGGAAACACAACTGCTAAATACAAAATGCTGCCAAATTAAATTGATGTTTAATTTACAAAATATTAACTTGGTAAAAAAAATTAACATTTTTTTCTGCCAGCTCTGTAGTGAAACATAGCCATTGTTTCTCAAAGTCCTGTGGTTATTTTTTCAGATAACAAATAATTATGTGGCTTATTTCTCTGTTCTTATGAAGACATTTTTCCCTGGCCTGTGTAAATGTCTAAGCACCATGAGTGTGCAGAGTCTGCAGAGGTCTTGACAGGGTGTTGGATCCCCTGGGACTGGAGTGGTAGACAGTCCTGAGCTGCCATGTAGGTGCTAGGAATTGAACCTGGGTCCTCTGAAAGAACAACAAGTGCTCTTAACCACTGAGCTATCTCTCCAGACCCTATAAAGACATTTTAAACAGTCTTCAGAAGATAGATCGATGAAATGTCAACATCACTTTGGTCACTATAGAATAAAGACATCCAACATTTTTAGGAAGTTGTGGCCCTCTCTCAGACTACCCAATTAGCTATATTTGGGTCAGCTGGATGTTATTGTGAAATGCTGTACATGGCTATATTCTCTCTTTTTTTTTTTGACATAGGATCTCACTGTGAAATTCTAGCCTTGAACTCAGAGATCTATCTGCCTCTACTTCCGCAGTGCTTTACATAATTTGATTCTGATTATTGCCAAATAAATAATAATAATTGTACTTTATTAAAGTTAAGAAACATTTTCACTGGACTGTGGTGTTGTGCACCTTTAAGTCCAACACTCAGGATGCAGAGGCAGGTGGATCTCTGTAAGTTTGAGGTCAGCCTGGTCTGCAGAGCAAGTTCCAGGGCTATATAGAGAAACCCTGTCTCGAAAAACAACAGAAAAACATTAGTGAAAAATTATAGTTTAGATAATATCTGTATCATATATATGATAATTCTTATTATATAAAGAATGTGTGTTAGCGGGGTGGTGGTAGCACATACCTTTAATCCCAGCACTCAGATGGCAGAGGCAGAGAAGAAGGATCTCTTTAAGTTTGAGGCCAGCTTGATCTAAAGAGCTAGTTTCAGGATAGCCAGGCAAACCCTCTGTCTATGTCTGTCTGTCTATATGTATACACACACATGTGTATGTTAGTAGGTATGTAAAAAGATTTATCAGATTATAAGAACTGAGTATAGGAAAGCAAGCAGGGACTGAGATGGCACAGAGGTGAAGAACTCTTGCTGCTCTTCCCTTGGACCTGAGTTCCTCTTGCCTTCACCTCCCCAGCCTGCATGTTGCGATTAGAAGCGTGCGCCCTTGTGCCTGCTTTAAGAGAAAATCAGCTGCTGATGATGGAGGTGTACTTGGGGGGCGTCTTAAGCTTTTGGCCACACACGGCCTTATATAGCATTTTCCCACTTTTATTTTTGCAACAGAAAAGTAAAAAGGCTCAGTTCCCAGGAAAATGGCTTTGAGATGGGGTTGCCTGCGGGAGGTTTAAATCAGAGCTCTTGGGAGGGGATGGAGACAGATGCAGCAGGGCCTGGGGCTGAAATGGCCTTCAGAATCTGGTCACGCTAAGGCAAAAAGACTGGGACTCTGTGTCCTGGCACAGAGGCCTGGCCCAGCAGGAGAGAGGCAGAAAGGGAGAAGGCTCCTGAAGGCATCTGGGTACTGCACAAGCGACACAAACTGCCCTTGCCATCATTGCCTCAGATTGCAAGAGGCAGCTGAGCGTTCCTCTTAGGGCATTGAGTCCATTAGATGAGAAGCTGTGCACAAGCTGAGTTCCAAGTGAATTAACACACCATTCAGTCATTCATTCATCCAATATTTTTCTAATTCGAATTACATGGGGAAATGTTCACTACAGGGTGGACAGGACACTGGACTCTAGTCATGATTATGTCACCAAAAATGATGTGTCTGAGGAAATCATGGATGTGTCTTCTGGTTGTGTTGCCTAGCATGCATGAAGGCATGAATCCTACCCCCAGCACTTAAAAAAAATTCTGGACTAGATGCTATACTAGTTAGAATTTATTATTATTATTATTATTTATTTGACTTTTCAAGACAAAAAGGACAGTGACACTAACTGTTCTCCTGGAATTAACCTATCAGGCAGGACTCGTTCAGCATTTCCAGAGGGGAAATGGTGAATATTTTTGTTGTTGTTTATTTTTTGTTTTTTTCTAGACAGAGTTCCACTGTGTAGCCCTGGCTGTCCTGGAGCTATCCCTGTAGACCAGGCTGGCCTCAAACTCACAGAGATCAGCCTGCCTCTGCCTCCAGAGTGCTGGGATTAGACGTGTGTGCCACCAATGCCCTACAAAATGGTGAGTTTAAACCAATGGGGAAGACATGCTTCTCCTGGCTCCTCATTGTTTATGGCTTAGACCAGTTACTGATATGCACTATGAACAGCACAAACTCTTCGACGACAAAGAGCGGGTGACATTGAAGTTCATGCTACTTCCAGTCCTTGGTGCACGCTTTCTTTATCTCACATGCCAGGGCCCAAATGTAATGTTTCAGAAATGCCTCGGTTTAGCCATAGAATTCTAGGAGCTCAGTTATCCTATTGTCTTTTAGATGTTGGCTGGTTACCTCCGGATGGCCTGGCCACAGTGGAGAATGACTCCAAGTTTGTATAACAAAAGACCTAGGCCCTGGGTGGACCCGCACTCATCCTGAGGGCTAGTGAGATGTGCCTGGGCTAGTGGGATGTGCAGTTTTAGGACTGTCTCTGGGATTAAAGGACACATTTGATATCAGCTCTATACATGATAATAGAAGTCTTCTGCCAGTACCACCGGTTTTGGAAAGCTATTTAAGAGGATGCTTAAATAAACTGTGGTCTCCAGTATTGATGGAGAGCTCTCCTGAAATGACAAGATGTCTCGGTCTCGTTCTTAACACCTCTGGGTAGCTAGGACTTCCCTGATCCACACTCCCCAACTCAGGACCCAGGGCTGTTCGGCTGGTTCCAAACACAGCCCCAAAGACACCAGTCTGGAATAGATGGCCCCTACAGTGTACAGTGATACAGGCCAAACCCCAGCACTCACATCCCTGCTTTCCTACTCCACCCCCAGATATCAAGAGATGAGTTTTAAATAACCCAAGAAAGAAACTAATCCAGCTGGTGCCCCCTATTGGAGGATTAGAGCACGATGCCTGCTAGAGGTGTCCACCCTATGAACCTCAGCTAGAAGATTCGAGGCTGAAGCTGTGCTTTTCGTGGTGTGGAGATAGATGTGTGTTGAACTTGTAAAGAAGGGAGCTAAGCATACAGCATTTCCACAGTCAAGATCATCCCTGGAGTAAGAGCAATTTCATTCCCTGTAACACAGGTAAGAAGGGGCTGGGACTGTAGCTGAGTTGGTAGAATTCTTGCCCAGCATGCACAAGACCCTAGGCTTGGTTCCCAGCACCTCATGGAACAGGCATGGTGTTGCACACCTGTAACTCAGCACTAAGAAGTGGGAGCAGGAGAACCAGGAGTTCACAGTCATTCCCAGCAACACAGGGAGGTCAAGTCTGGCCTGGGCTAGAGACCCTGCCAGGGGTGTGGGAGAGGGGTAGACAAGCAGGAGACCTAGAAATTCCCACCCATTTGTTGCTCAGGTTTGCAATGCTTACCCACTCTGAGTTCCCAGATTGCCAGATTTAGCATTGTCCTGAAAGAGCATGGCCTATGTTTGCCTTCCCACATGTAGGCTCCTGCTTTGTGTTGCCACTTTGGAACTCCTAAGCAGTTGCAAAACAGCCAGGCGGCCTCAGCTAACCCCCTCTGTCCTAGGAAACAGCCTGGCAGTGTACTCTAAGCAGCTTGAGCAATTGAGGTCCTAGGAAGCAGATGGGTGGCCTCCTCACCCACCCACAGCCCTAGGAATCAGTTCTGGCTTGGCTCACCAAGGGCCCTGGAAAGCAGGCAGGCAGTATTACAAATCTGCCTCCAGTCTCAGGAAGCAGATGAACAGCCTGTTCTCAGCTCAACCAGATGCTGAAGTCTGAGAAACACCAACCACGAGCCCTCAGCTCCAGGAAGCCCCTGATCAGCCTTCTTCTAGCAGATCAGGGCCTCTGAAAAGACTAACAGCATCTGTGTGTCACTAACAGGCAAGCTCACTGTGGCCTACCAGGACAGCCCCACCCTCTAGTGCCCACAGGAAAAACAGGCACTCCAATACCTGCAGCCAGGCGCATCACACCCAGAGCTGTTGGTGAGCCTTCTCACACTGAGCAGCAGGTGGCATCTCAGCTGGCTGTGAGGTACCACGGCAGAGACCGTCAGTACTTGCAGCAATGCCCCTGTTAGAGTATAGCTACACTACAGCTTTTACCCGAGTCAGGGTCAATGCCTTGTACTCTCTACAGAAGTCACCCAGTAAAGATGGCAGAGGCAGTGGATTCACCAGACACACAAACACCAGTGAAGGACATAAAAAGCACACACCTAAGCCGGGCAGTGGTGGCATACGGCTTTATTCCCAGCACTCGGGAGGCAGAGGCAGGCGGATCTCTGTGAGTTTGAGGCCAGCCTGGTCTACAGAGCGACTTCCAGGACAGCCTCCAAAACAATACAGAGAAACCCTGTCTCGGAAAACCAAAAACCAACCAAACAACCAAACAAACAAACAACCAAACAAACAAAACAAAACAAAACAAAACAAAAACAAAAAAAAGCACACGCCTGTAAACTCAGCACAGAGGAGGAGTAAGCAGGAGGATCAGGAGTTCAAGGTCATCCTCAGCTACATAGTAAGTCAAAGGCCAGGCTGGGCTACATGAGACCCTGTCTCAAAACAAACAATAAAGCAAAGGAATGTATATTATCACTTACATTTTGGGGCGTTTATTATATTTTAGTTAAATCATTTTAAATCTAGAAGTCATAGAACTATGGAAGTCAAGTCAGTAACTAAATTTTGAGAATGGGAAAATAATGGTTTACAAAGTAACTGGTGGGGGTGCTGGAGAGGCATCTCAGTGGTTATGAGCACTTTTCCAGAGGACCCAGGTTCAATTCCCAGCACACACACAGACACACATACACATACACACACACATACACACACACACACACACACACACACACACACACACACACACACACACGACAACTCACACCCATCTGTAACTTTAGTTCTAGGGAATCCAAAATGCTGTCTCTGACCTCTGTAGGCATCAGATACACAAGCGGTGTACAGACATACATGCAGGCAAAACACCCATACAAATAAAAATTTTTAAAAATGAAAAAAGTAGCAACAAACTATCAGAATGTTAGCAATAACCTATACAGCCCTGAGTCACTGTAGCAGGATGCATTCTGAGAAATCCAACATGAGGCAATTTCACCAGGAAGAGGACAGTGAAGTGTGTACTTACGCAACTCTAGGTGGTGTCTCGTAGCCTAATGTGAGCAAGAGACATGGAAAGCATGAGCTGTGTGGCGCTGGTGTGCTGTACAATAAACATTTAGTTAATTTTTTGCAATACCAGGAGTGAAAGAGGGCTTTGTGCTGGGTGGTGGCAGTAAACACCTTTAATCCCAGCACTCGGGAGGCAGAGGCAGGCGGATCTCTGTGAGTTCGAGGCCAGCCTGGTCTACAGAGCGAGTTCCAGGACAGCCTCCAAAGCCACAGAGAAACCCTGTCTCGAAAAGACCAAAAAAAAAAAAAAGCCAATAACACAGTCATGTCATCACCAGTAACGGCTGTACACTGTCCATTGCTTCATATAGTACACAAACACTGCTATCATGTGACTTTTGCTAGAGAGACGTGAACAAATGTCTTTCCACCCCTTATAGCACTGACAGCGGAACAAAGAAGCAATTCCACCCAAATCTAGCTTGGAGAGCTAAGAGCTCACAGAGGTTATTGCAGAAGTGTGGGGGAGGAGATGCTCAGTTGGAGCAAGGGTTACTCAAAGGCCATGCATCACCAAAAGCCTACCCCAGCATGAGTGACAACTCATAAAGCTAAATCCAGCAGGCATGGTGGATCTCTGTGAGTTCGAGGCCAGCCTGGTTTACAGAATAAGTTCCAGGACAGCCAGGGCTACATAGAGAAACCTTGTCTCAAAAAACAAAACAAAAACAAAAACAAAAACAAAACAAAAGGCTGAGTCCTTGAAGCTCCCAGGCAGTTCCACTGAAGAATCCCTCCTAGCAACTGCTTATTGTTTAGTACCTGGACTCTGTGTGTGTTTTGTAAGTCTTGCAACTAATAACTACGTAACACTTGACCCCTTCCACCAGCTCTTACATTCTTTTTGTACCCTCTTCTGCAATGTGATTTTCTTCCACTTATGACTGAGCAATGGGCACTATGCCACAATAATAGCTTTTTATTCACAGTAGGGTGGTTATTTGAGTCTGCAGTAACCACCACCCACTGCACAAAAGAAGGTTCTCTCCTGACTGAGACCTGTGGATATGAATATAAATGTTCAGGAAGCAGTTTGACATGTCCTTATCAGCAGTGACCTCCCCAACTCAGGTCTCAGGCCCAGTTTACAGTCCCAACTGCAAATTATTTCCTTTGGAGTTGACTGTGTGTGTGCATGTGTGGAATAATGGATATGTTTGTGTGTGCACATGCACATGCACATATGCAAGCTTATGGAGGCAGAGGTCCATGTCAAGTGTTTTTCTTCAATTTGTCTCCACATTATTATAATTATTATTTGAGCCAGGGTCTTATTATGTGGCCCTAGTTGTCATGGAACTCACTGTGTAGACCAGCTTGACCTCAGACTCATATAAAGATTCTCCTGACTGCCTCCTGAGTGCTAGGATTAAAGGTGTGTGCCACTATGCCTGATATGTATACACACACACATACTCATATATATGTTTAGGCAGTCTGTCACTAAAGCTGGAGTCGGAGTCCATCAGTTTGGCTAGGCTGGATGGCCAATGAGCCTCAGGGATCTTTTGCATCATTGCTCCTTAGTACTTGAACTCGGATCTTCATGCTTGTGTGGCAAGCATTTTACCAACTGAGTCCTGTGTGGTATATGTTAAACTAACTTGATGGTTCACGGACCTTGGGAGGCTCCCTGGCCCACAGTGCATAGGGAGGTGGTCCACCTATGGCACTGGGATTTTTACCCAAGGACACTCTGCCTTCTGGGAGTGCCTGCTTCTGTGTATGCAGGATGCCTTCTTTGAACTTTTTTTTTTGAAGGAGAGTGTGAATTGAATGCACTTCTTACTATCACAAGCTATACATCTAAAATTCTTGAATTTGGAGAAATTGCTGGGGTCAGCACATATGAAGTATAATGGATGAGCCTTGCCCTAGAAAACCACCTGCCTGATCATGGTATCTCCCCTGCCAGGTAAGTATTCCTTTAAATACTTCAAGCACTATTTTCTATCGTCCCTCTAGGTGCTTTAGCTAATATGTAGAGTACTCCAGGGTTAACATTATATAATGGAAAAAAGTTAATGGAGAGAAGTCTCTAAAGGCTCACTACCAAGTGCCAATCGGTCTTGGGATTCAGCAAGGTCCAATACAGCATGAAAATATCTCTCTGTTGGAATTATTTGTCAAAGAGAAATGCTGGCTGCAGAGGAATTCTGCCTTGTTTAGCTCTCCTAATCCACAGCCATTCTCCACGGGCCACCCCACTTTCATCATCCCAGGGAGCTGATGCAGGGCTACCGCACGTGTCCCCATCCCTGACTGGCTTTGTAGAGCTGGCTGCTGCTTGTCCTAGCTCAGAGTCAAGATTATGCTCTTGTCTGCCATGCATGCCCCTGGCACTGGGTCCCAAAACCTGGCAGCTGCTGGGATGAGACATAGTCTTTGTCTTTGTCTCTTTATCAGCTGCCTCTGGCTACTGCAAGGGCCCACGCTAAGCAGTCTTCAGTCCCAATAGTCCCTTCCTTCTCTTAGTTTTGTTTTTTTAGACAGGGTTTCTCTAGTAGCCCTGATTGTACTGGAACTCACTCTGTGAACCAGGCTAGCCTCGAACTCAAAGATCCTCCTGACTCTGCCTCCTGAGTGAAGGGGTGCACTTCCATTGACCGGCTCAACTTTCTTGTGGGGAAAAATGAACACAGTATACACAGGGTAGAATCATTACCTAACCCTATATCAATCTTGCTCCCTTTTGTCTGTTCCACTGTCATTCACTCTTTCTTTTGTCTCTTTAATGAACTGTTCCTCAGACTTCAAAGCCTTCCAGAAGCTCACAGGTACTGGATTTAGCTGTCCATTTTTTTTTCTTTAAAAATTCTGGTTCCATGAAGCTCTTGATATATTTTTTTTTCAAGTGACCCAGAAAGGTCCCACTGTCGTCTTTTCCCCATTTCATCCCCCTCTGGATGCTTTAGAACCTTCTAAACCCATTCAGCCTGTTGGAACCTCTCCTACCTTCCAAAGATCACAGCCCACTCTGAGGGCTCATCTTTAGCTTCCCGAATCTTTTAAACTTCTCTCATTGGTCCAGTAGGGAATATCTCAATTCTGGGCAAATAGGGCTGGCAAGATGGCCCAGCAGGTAAAAGCACTTGCCACCAAGGCTGATGTCCTGAGTTTTATTCCTAGAACCCAGATGATGGAAGGAGAGAACTGAGTTCCTCACATTGTCCTCTGATGTCCATGCATGCATATGCACATACATGTAATAAAGGAATGTTTAAAAAAATTAGGACTGGATAGATAGCTCAGTGGTTAGGAGCACTGACTACTTTTCCAGAGACCCTAGGTTCAATTCCCAGCACCCACATGGTAGCTTACAACAGTAATTCCAGTTCCTGGAGATCTGACACCCATGGCAAAAAAACCAATGCATATAAAATAAAAATAAATAAAAAATTTTAAACCCACAAAACAATTTTAAAGCAATTATGGGGGAATAGCTATGTGACAATAGAGTCTCACAAAAATGTATTGTGCAGTGATGTGACATTATAACATGTGTGCGATTGCCAGGTGGCAGGAGTTTTTCAGCTCAGTCACCTTAGCATATCACTGTCATGTGTGCAGTCCTTTTGAGGAATCACTAGACAGCATGTGACTACTGTGAAGGTTAAACAGTTGTTTGTTTTACAAAAATTCATTGTGGGGGCTGGAGACATGGCTCAGAGGTTAGGAGCACTGGCTGCTCTTCCAGGGGTCCTGAGTTCAATTCCCAGCAACCACATGGTGGCTCATAACCATCTGTAATGAGATCTGGTGCCCTTTTCTGGCCTGCAGGCATACATGCAGACAGAACACTGTTTATATAATAAATAAATAAATAGGAAAAAAATTCATTGTGTTTGTGCATCTGTGATTTTTGGAAATTTTTGTGTATATTTTCAAGTGTACATTCTCATGTGTCCCAAACTGGCCTCAGCTTAACTGTATAGTAAAAGATGACCTTGAATTACTGATCTTCTTGCCATCCCCTCCCAAGAACTGGGATTACAGTCATGAGTCACCATGAGGTATCAAAACCAAGCTCTTATAAATGCTAGGAAACCATTGTATTTAATGAGCCATATCCTCAGCTCCCCAAAAAGCTTACTTAAAAAGAAAACCTAGGGCTGAAGAGATGGCTCAGGGGTTAAGAGCCCTGGCTGCTTTTCCAGAGAACCTGGGTTCAACTCTCAGCACCCATATGGCAGCTCACAATTGTCTGTGACTCCAGTTCCAGGGGATTCAATACCCTCACACAGACTAATGTGCACATAAAATAAAAAGAAAGAAGGAAAGAAAAAGAAAACCTAGAACCAGGTAGTGGCAGCACATGTCTTTAATTCTAGCACTAGGGAAGCAGACGCAGGTGGATCTCTGTGAGTTTGAGGCTAGCCTGGGCTACAAAGTGAGTTAATGAGTTCTAGGACATCCAGGTGTCTAATAATCTAACATAATTTAGGCTTTCTTTTTTCTTTTTTTTTTTTGAGGCAAGTTTTATATGTGTAGCCTTAGCTGTCCTGGAATTCATTCTGCAGACCACACTGGCCTCAAACTCAGAGATCCACCTGTCTCTACTTCCTGAGTGCTGGGTTTAAAGGCATGCACCACCACTGCCCAGCACAAATTCAGGCTTTCTCTTTTTTTAAGATTTATTTATTTATTATGTATACAGTGTTCATGCCAGAAAAGAGGGCACCAGATATCACTACAGATGGTTGTGAGCCACCATGTGGTTTCTGGGAATTGAACTCAGGACCCCTCTCTGGAAGAGCAGTCAATGTTCTTAACCTCTGAGCCATCTCTCCAGCCCCCAAATTTAGGCTTTCTTAATGAATGAGTTGTGGTGATATACTCTTTATGATTTATTAAAGCTTGCCTGAGGATTCAGAAAGCAAAGCCAGCCTCAAGATATAGAGATCAGGCAGTGGTGATACACACCTTTAATCCCCTGACTCAGGATTAAGAGGTAGATGCATCTCTGTTAGTTCAAGGTCATGCTGACTACATGAAATTGTTCCAGTCCTAAAAGAAACAGCTCACACAAAGGTGATCTCAGCACCTGGAATCTCACACCTTTAATCCCAGCATTAGGGAGGTATGTAAGACAGGAGCAGGGCATTCAGTCTGAGAGTTAGTCTCTGGCCACATTGAGGAGAGCATAGCAGTCTGAGTGAATCTGAGGAGCAGTGAAATTGGGAACAGTTTGAGGATCGCCCCTTTGATCTGAGCTGTGGTAGGGGTAAGAGCTAGTGGCTGACTGCGTTGCTTTTCTGATCTTCAACTTGAAGCTTGAACTCCAACATCTGTCTCTGGGTCTTTTATTTATTGTGCTACAACAAATGAATGATTGCATGTCTGTGTATGGACATGTGCACAATATGTACGTGGAGGTCAGGATAATTTGTAGGAGTCAGTTCTCTCATTCCACAATGTGAGTTCCAGGGATCCCTCTGCCTCTTGAGTGCTAGGATCAAAGGCATGAACCACCACACCCACTGTATTTCAAGACTTAAAACTTATCACTATGGGGCTGGGTGTGTGGCTCAGAGGTAGAGTGCTTTCCTGATATATACAAGGTCCTGAGTTCCATCTCCATCCCATCACCTTCATCACCACCACCACCACACCACTGTCCTCCTCCTCCTCCTCCTCCTCATCATCATCATCATCACTGTCATCACAACCACCACCATCACCTTACTATCACCACCACCACCTCCACCATCACCACTACCACCCCTACCATCACTGTCATCCTCCTCCTCCTCCTCCTCCTCCTCTCCTCATCATCATCCATCATCACCATCATCATCACCGTCACCACCACCTCCACCATCACCACCACTACCACCACCAGCGCCATTTAGCACAGTCTTGGCATAGGTTACTCCCTGGTCTTTATTGCTTGTGTTTATTGCGTATTCTGAGCATACCTCAGTGTCCTTTTCAGATAAACTAAAAGTCTGATGTTTTCCCCAGGAACTGCACTTTATTACTTCCCCCACGACAGCAAGTGAGGGAACTGAAACGCCTGACGCAGTGGCGTGGCTCATGATAGACTCAGAACCTGGGCGCTGTGATGTCACAAAGGCTTTGATCACACACTGCAGAGGGACAAGTTGTGGGTCGCCACAGTAATGCTAATGTGCTTGACTGTAGGATCATTTAATTCCTGTAACGCTTGCTACAGGAATTTCGTAGAAGTATGGAACTTCTGTAGATGGAAGTTGCCAGTTCACAATGCCCTGGTCACGTGCTTGCATTTCATCATGCCACTCGAGAATCACCCTGCTTCAGAAGTTTCTTTTGACCCTTTTCTCAGAAAACATTTCTGAGCCAGCAGCAAATAACTCGTATTTCCAGCTGTGAGGAGATTCAGCTGGCGTGACTTGGGGACTGTGATAGATGGGGGATGAGACAAGGCCAGCAGAAATGCATTATTTAAGCTCTCGGAGAGAACTGGGGCACAACTATTACTGGAATTCTGCTTGGAGTGAGGCATTCACCACATGGTGTTTTGGGAACTGTGAGAAATGAGGTCATTTCTCCAGCCTCCTCCTGCCATTGCTGCCTGTGTCAATTTGACAACAGTTTGCACATCTTGCACACTGGCTGTGGTCTGCAAGGCAGGAAGGTCCCCAGGGACTTTCACTGGGTACTCTACATGTTCTGCTGTACAATCTGCCTCCTAGCCAGATCCATACAGAGCACTGGCCTGTACCGAAGGGCAGCTGTGGATACTGTGCAAATACAAAACAAATAGGAGATTCAAGTCCACCCGCAGAGTTCACCAGGAAAGCATATAATTAGCAGGGTGAGGGACAAGCCCGGAATACCCACTCACCTACTCCAAAGGATGGCACTTCCATTCACAGCCTCAGTTAGAGAACACAGGGCAGTGCCTCCCACTTAGCGTAAAAGCTGCTGTTTCCCACCAC